ACACCTTAGCCTAGCTGTGTTGATAATAGAAATGATAAATAACAAAGATGTGTGATTATATTACTGTTAAAAATCTATAGAAGTGAATCAGTGAACAGTAAAAAAGTTGTAATTCTAGCTTTCAATGAAAAGCGATCCAATAACTTTTTTAAATTTATATTTTTTTAACTTATACAAAAAATTTTAAAATCTCGGAGGAAAGCCACTTATTTCTGATATCAAACTATCATAATTAGTCAGTTAAAGTATTTCTTAAAAAGAATAAGAACAAATAGTATATGGATTTATGAATGAAGCAATCTGTGCTTAAAAATAAGTTTTAAATAAAGTCAATTTTTTAAAGAAAAAGACCAGTAGTATGAAAATTTTAACCTTTTCCCTATGGGAGGTTGACATTCGTTACTTCATTATAAAAACAAACAAAGATAGTGCCAAGGCACTGAAATTGTCATCCATAGCCTATTTTTTTAGAAAATGTCCCATTCACTTTGCAACGATCATCTGCACGTCATATTCTCCTTTTTCAGATTGATCATTATATTAGTTACTTCTCTCTTACAAATTGATTTGGTATTTTTGAACTGAAAATAAGTTTTATGTAAAAATTTGGAATATAAATGAACTGTACATTTGAACATCATTTATATTTTTCATTTTAAATTCAGGTATTAAGTTTGATTAAACAACTTTAATTTGAAAACTTTAACCTGACTCAAATATTTTTAGCAGAATATCAAAATATACAATTCTTTTTCGAACTGAAATGACTTCTGTGTTATTAAATGATATATTTATAAGCTAAATATAAACAATTCAAAAACGTATAAAATTGTTCCTTCTTCTCATTAATTAATAAACAAATCTTTTAGAAAATTTTGAAATATATAAACATGAAGTATTTAATGATAAATGAATTAATCGAATAAATGAATAATGAATGAATTTTTTTCTTTTTAATTTTCAAAACTTTTTCTTTTTGCAGAAAAAAGACTCAAAATGTCAAATTCCAATGTGAAAAAAAAGGAAGAGAAGGGTGTTGATCGTATTAGACATCCTTTCTGTTGAACTTCCTGCTGACTTTTATTTGGTCTTTTTTCGGACACTTGAATATCTATATTTTAATTAACGCAACACTTTCGACCTCCTTTACCTTTCATCCTTAAATAGCGAGAAGATCAAAAGAAAGGATTGTTGATAATTGTCATTTGTTGAGGGAAATTTAAGTTCTTTCGAAAAAATTAATAAAATGTTTTTAAAAAAAGAAACTTTCAGAAAATTGAATTGTTAGCATGAATTTTCAAGGATTTTTAAAAAACTGGATAGCATATCAAATTAGCATCAAAAAAAAGTATCCAAAGATCTGAATCAACATATTAAAATTGAATAAATTTGAAAATTATTCATAATTTATGTTAATAAATATTGACTTAGTACAGGAAGATATAATGGAAAGTTTCAACATTATTCAGAACTTAATTAAAATAAAAATATCAGGTATTTATAATTTGAAATAATAAAAAATATGCTTTTCCAACATATTAATCAATTCTTTTTGTAAGAGTATGAAATAAAAATTTAATACAACTTTCTATTTATTATTTTGAAACAAATTATACAAATGTCAATAATCTCATCCAAACCAGTCTAAAGTTTTATATGATTCAAAGCAGTAGCAGAAATCGTTCGTTTGGTAAACATTTGCATTAGTGAGGAATTTAGATTTTGAAAAAAAAAATGAATAAATAATTTATATTTAATAAATGGCACGTTACCATTCCTTTAATCTTTTGATTTACATTGTTAGAAATAATAGAATCCCTTTCTTAAAAAAATGTCTAAAATATACTACTGATACAAACATAAATTTCGAAATATTATCAAATATAAGTAAATTGTAATCAGAATAATCAAAACATATAAGTGAAATATAAATCTAAGTGAAAAATAAAATTTTGTTAAAAAAAGGAGGAAAATTCTTGAAATATCATTAACCTCATTAATGTTTCATCTTCTTTCTAACATAATGAAGGAAATATATTTTAATTATGAGATAGATAAAGAAGTTAGTCGTATATATATAAATTTTGATTTATCATAAAAACATTGCTGTAATAATATATAGTAATTAATAATAATATTACTAATAATAAAATAATTTATTATAATCAATTTAATTTAGCTATAAATGATGCATCTGAATATATATGTATTTATTATAAAAGCAATTTTATAATACAGTTCATTCATCCACTTGTAAGTCAAAACTTTCTATTACATATACAGAATTATACAAATCAGGTTATAAAATTGTTAAGAAAAAATTAAGCCATAATTAACTTTTGTTTAGTTTATAACCGTCTGATTACAAAGAGACATTATACATAAAGCATAAACGAAGCATAAAACATAAATTGAATAAACAAAAAATTACTCTACGTAACAGAATTTTTATTAAAATTCATTCCGAAAATAAAAAAGAAGTGTCATATTATATAGTAAATAATAAGTCTATTTTACGAAATACACATCAAAGCATAAGCAAAATATATTTAATTAGAAGACATAATCTGTTACAATACATCAATAGTGGCAACAATACATACAATGTGACTAAATAATTTTGCCCCTTTAATAATTATAAATTAGATAGTACTGGAAGTAGCTGCGAGATAGCAGCATGAAAAAAGGATCTAAAAAGATTCTGTAAAACTAATTAAACGAATGCTAAAAAATGATAAATTGCTAACACCACTATATGAATTTCCATTAAAGAGTTAATTTTGAAATTTCACATTAAACTGTTACTCTACAAAGTTTCGGAAATAAACTTTTCAGTATTGTTTTAAAAAAATGGAAATTATATTTTTTTTCGAAAAATAAAATAAAAATCAACATAAAAATTCAGAAAAACAGGAGTTTAAAATCAAAAAAAGAATAAAGTTAAACATTGCAGATATTTTCAAATAGTATCAACGACATCATACCGTCATCAAATTAAAAAAAAAAAGCTAAATCTGGTCTTCATAAGTTTATCATTATTTATACGTTTTTCACAATATTTAATTAATATTTCAAATTGCTTAAAATGTTTTTACTATACACATGATAAAGCTGTCACCAAGGATAAAGCTTTCAAAATCTTGAAATCTATTTGAATTCGAATTTTTAATGGCAACTTTATTGCTGGTTCCCTGCCATTACTATGAGCATAGAAGGGAAACTTTCCGCCATCATAGTTACAGTTGTCCAGTTATGCGATTAACTAGTCATTATGTTATTATCATTTATATAATTAGCCACTATGTCATTATCATGTCTAGATAGAAAATATGAAAAAATTCATGATGATAATCTTTACTATCATCAGTCACTATTTGAGTACAACTGTAATGACAGAAAGCTGATGACGTGAAATATTTCTCATATTAAACTCATAGAGTTACTAAGCTCAATCATCTGTAGATAATTTCAGCCTGCCTATGAACTTTAAATTTTATTGAAAATTCAAATACTAACAGAAAGGACAGATATATACAAGAGCAACAAAGCGAATATTTTCAAAGAAAAAATTACAAAGCAATAAAGTAACAGAAGACATTTCATCAGCATATGGTTTGAAAGTCCAATAGTTTTGATGATTCGCATTGGATATTAAACATATTTTTAATTTTTGCATTTATGTCAATTTTAAACATATTGAAATTTTTTAACAAAACTTATTCAAGCTATTGATATCATGTTCACCAAATATCAAAAGAGAGCTAGCATCATGAATTTCATTGCATTGAGAAATGACGGGCTTAATTAAGCTCTATCAATCCTATTTAAGTTATTCTTTTATAGCCTAAGTTGATGAAATTTATGGGTGCTTATCTTACTTTTGTAAAAATTAAAATAGATGAAAATATAAGAATGTAATTTACGACAAACTAGTGGAACGAACAGGGAATGTTTTTTTTTTTTTCAGATTGAATTCCAACAATATATTTAATAAAATAACAAAAATATTAATAAAATAATGAGTAAAGAACTTAATTTTAAGAAGAGAGACTTGATTTGATCAATTGTAATGTAACTGAATGCATTCTCCCAACAATTTCCAACAGCTAATCTATTATTTCCTAATTTTTGTTTCGGAACTTGAAGTCGAATATATCCATACAGTTTGTATAGTTACAAATGAAAAATTAAAGAATACTTAGATTTTAAAATAGTTATAATCATATTTCTAACATTTTATGTTTAAAGTGGAATTTTCAATCTGTCTAGTTTGATATAATTCTCAGACAGTGATATTTTTTTTGCATATTAAATACTTGGTTAGTTTTTATGAGAAAAAAGGTGCAATAAAAAAATAAATAGTTAATGGCATAAGATAGAAATGATTAATGAACAAATTAAATAATTGAATTTTTTTAATAATATAAAATTACAAATAAAGTGATAGTTTTAATTCGCAAAAATTAGCAAACATTTACTTTAAATTAATTTTACCAACGTAAATCGTTTAGAAAAATCATGAATTTAATTTATTTAATTTATCATTAGTTATTCCGATGTTTTGACTATTAATTCTTGCATTATATTTTTTTCTTTTTGTTTCTAAACCAGTATTCTAATAGTTTACATTTCAGTTAGATATGTTCTTAATTAAGCTAGTCTTAGTAGATCACAATAAGTCTAAATATTAAGATAACATAAAAAAAGTAAACAAACAGTATACGTACTACTGTTATATATAATTTCATGTACTCACATATTCACAAATCTGCAAAACTATAGATAAAGATTGAAAATAATATTATGATAGATTTTCTAAGCTTAGAAAAAAATTTCAAAAATAATAAGTCTAACTAACGTACCTGAGTGAAAAAATCGGTTATTCCGTTTGCTCACAAATATCGATAAACTATGATAATTATAATAATAGTAACAGCATGCTGTGATAGTGTATGACGAAACAACGATAATGAACATAGCAACAAATACTGCTGCAGGTGTCACATGGATTGCATATGTTGCAGTGGCAATGTCATATGTTCTTCCATGGTACCATTAAGCGCGACATACTGTAACCGAGGGTCCTGTGGCATGTACATGTTCATGGTTGCCGCTGCTGCTGCTGCGGCTGAAGCAGACGCTGAAGAAGATTCTTTGTGAGGTTCGTAGAAGGCACGAAATTGTGAAGTTAGGGGAGATTCAGTTGTTGCAGCTGCTACCCCAGAATCTGGTGATTCACCGTTACTTGTTCCCGTGTTAGTGGCACCATCAGATGATGTTTCAGGTTTCACTGCTAACGAGACACCTGCAGCACTGCTGTAATGTTGCTGTTGTTGAGCAGCTGCAGCAGCTAGTGAACAACTAGGTGACTTCGAGTAATGTGAAGCTGGTGATGTTGTACTGCTTAACGAATATGGCATTCCGATCATATTCTCGTAACCTGTACGGTCATATAAAGAATAGGAATCGAAATATGGTGAGGTGGAAACGGAATTGATCGGCTGTTGCCAGCCGGTTGTCATTGGCTGGTAAATATTTTGAGTTTTGATTGGATCCAGGAATGTACTGGCTGACATTGCTAGACCATTCTTTTTTGGTAAATTTTTCGTTTTTCTCCTTGGACGATATTTGTAATCTGGATGCTCTTTCATATGAATTGCTCGAAGACGTTTGGCTTCATCGATAAATGGCCGTTTTTCTGATTCATTCAGTAATTTCCATTCCTGTCCCAAACGTTTAGAAATTTCTGAGTTGTGCATTTTTGGATTCTCTTGTGCCATTTTTCGACGTTGTCCGCGAGACCATACCATAAATGCATTCATGGGACGTTTCACTCGACTATCACCCAAAATTCCAGAATTTCCAAAAATTATAAAAAAAACACTGTAACCAAACCAGAAATAAATAATGCAATTAAGAATAAAAGGAATATGGAAATATAAAAATTTTTCGTTTCTATGATCCATAAACTCTGAACACAACTTATGAATAAAACGCCAACAAGAAAATTCCTTTAAAGAAGTAAACATTGATGAATTAGTTTAGATTAATGCTTTATTAAAATTTTTATATAAAAAGTGCGAAGGAAAATTAATGATCAAATTTTATCTCTCGCCTCTATATATTCTGGAAAACAATGTTTCTTCCATTCTCTAAATTATTTCTTTAGCAAAAATACATTGTTCTTCCTGCAAGGCATCTTTCATCTTAATGTTTTAACAAAAACAAAGAAAACATAAAATTTTACAATTATCTTACCTTTTTTTTCCTTTAGACAAAGTGATCCAGGTGAGTTAGGAACACAGCATTCTTCAACGGTCGGAATAGATGACGTTGATGTTAGTGGCATAGAAAAACCCGGCGGCATGGCACTGTAGAGTGAGAATGCATCTTGAAGGGCTGCAGCTGCAGAAGCACTGGTTGCCGCTGTCGTTACTGCTGTCACCGTTCCAGGTGCGGCTTTGAGCTCATTTTCCATCATCATCATCATCATCATTTGGAAATCCTGGAAAGTGAGAGTGGGCGGTGAATGGAATGAATGAGAATGAGGATAATAATGTAACAAAAAATGCAATGAGAGAATCAATAAAGATCAATTAATAGTGTAAATAAACAAGAGATGAATGAAAATAGCTTTCAAAACAGTATGATGATATGATGAATGATAATTATGATAATGATAACAGTAATAATGATGATAGGTAGGGAATGAATGATGACAACAACTGTATGGAATGTGATAGTAGTAGGTAACAGTACTGACATTAAGTAATAATGTAATGTAGTGTCCTACTGAGTGAAATTTGGAGGGAGGGAGGAGATGGAGCGGGAAAACTTGTCGTTTTACTACTCTTTGCAGGACGCATAAAAAAGGAAGATGAGAGTGACGTAGCGCTTCCTTGATAATACAAAGTTTTGGTTTTTCAACCGGATTAACTAGCTTCAACAAAGGCAACAGGTGACAGTCCCCTCTTTTTACAGCTCCTTAGCTTCAATTCCAATCACTCGACTGCACAGAACATAGTTATGAAAAGAGGATGAATAAGGTACTATTTGATGTCCCTGGGTTGGGCTTTTATTATTACTGGATGGCAATATAATGCATTCATTCATTCATATCTGTATCTGTCCTCTTCCTGATCTTGACCTTTCTTCATTGGAATACTCTTTCTACCACTAATTACGATGTTAGTAATTTTAGTAATAAAGAGATGTTGGTAATAAATTGAACTGGATAAAATGTTAGTGGAACTGAATTGAATTGAATTGAATTGAGTGGAATAGAAATGAATGGAATAGGACTGAATAGATAGAGAGATGACTCCGAAAGAATTTTACAAGAAGTGGTGAGTTGCAGTGGAGAAGGAAGTATGGGTTGTATGTGTGCGCCGGGCGTGAAGACCGATTACGATGAATGAATAAAAGAAAGAAGTAGTATAGCAAGCAAGTGGGCAAAGCAGCGGCATCCGAACATGACGAAAGGAGGTGGGATAAGATTGGATGGGTATGGGAGAGTGGGAGGAGCGACCTGAAGAGAGAGCTAGTCATCTCGTCCTTTTCCAGCCGTTATTGGGATACAGTGAGAAGGGGGTGGAGTTCAGGTAGTGGCACGAAAGAAGATAAGGAAAAGATAGAAAGGAAAATGAGATATATGCAGTTCTAATCCTTCCTTTCCAAATCTTTTGGACTATTTTTCTAGATATACTTACCTTCATTTTTCTGGCATTAATATTTTAAGAAAATACTCCTAGCAAACGATTACTTCCTTGAAATTTCGTTCTAAGCACCATAAAGTCCTCGCAAACATTTTGGATTTCAATGCAAGTTAACGAACAGAGAAATCGTTGAGGTAGTATGTAGGCAGAGATAGATGCGAAAATGGGTGGAATGGCTCGTTGTTGATTGGACGATGGGCTGATTGGTTGTTGGCAGTTGGCGATGGTTATCGTGTTGATAGTACCTCGAGCACACGGATAAAAGGTACAACCTATCCTGTTGCTGTACCCGTCACCATTGTTATTGTTATTTTTGAGATAAATTTCTGGAAAAATATTTGCGGGAAATTACAGGAACAAAAGGGAAACAAGTTTCGGGCAGTAGCGTGAAGAATGAGTGGAGCAGTACGGTGGAAGAAAGATGCAATCAGCGATAACCTCATGTTAAATGACATTGATCAGTCGGTACATCAACCAGGCCACAAATGCATCTGTTCTCACAGATGAAGCAGTTGGTTACGGTAAATAGTCAGGTGCAATTCTCGAATGAAGTATTAGTTTATTAAAATTATTAAAAATTCAGTGACTAAAAATTCAAAAAAAACTTAAAGCACAAATTTTAACCAACCAACCATTCCGCTGAATCCGTCCAAAATCATTGTAACTTAGCGGATTTCTTTCAGCAGTATTTTTTGCTTTTGTAAAAGATCTGGCATCGAAGAAGATAGCTATGAAATTTCTAGCTTGCGAAGAATAGTTGATAATGTTTGATAGCAGAAACATTCGAATATTTTGAACTGATTTTGTTATTTACAACACTTTACAATACTCACAGATTTTATCAAAAAATGCAAGAGCCATAAATTTTTTCATGAAAATTGAAGATAAAGTCATTTTTTTATATGATGATCCTTTCTTATATGAATGAAAATTCAAAGTTTAACTTGCGAAGAGTTAGTGGAGGGAAAAAAATCATTAATAAGCAAATGCAGTTAATAGTCAATATGGATTAGAATTTAAACAGATGAGCAGTTTGAATTAGAATATGTTTATGAGTAAAACAGATGAGCAGTTTTTTAATTGAAATCAAAACAACTTCAGAAAAATGTTTTTGAAACACCACCAATGTCCAAAATGTGTTTAAAAAAACACCAAATAGTATGTGTCGAATAGTTGTAGATCTAGAAAATATAATTGGTAACTTTTTTTGATAGGAATAAAAATGATAAAAACATATTTTGTATTGAGTAACAATAACTGAACGATTATTGCGTCATCAAGTGACAATATGATTAATAAATATTAAAACATATTGTTTTCATATCAAAAAAAAGTGTATTGCCTTGGTGGTCGTTCCAAGCCATATTTATTAAGCAGTTCGGAAGCCGATCGCGCCTTGCCACCGCTAATGTTTTACACATCAATTGAATAAAAATCTTCTTAAAGAAGGAATACTAACCAAGCAACCAACCGCTCATCAATCGTTATGTTCAAGCAGTCAAGCATCTTACAGCACTAATATATATATCTCCACCTAATATTTTTCTTCTATTTTTTGTTTTTTAAATTCATAAAATAATTTTTTTTTAGTTTTTAACATATACTGTTAAAACAGCATAGTTTGAATTGAAATGATTTAATGAACTGATATTCGAATTAAAGGAATTAATCGAAGCCATAAATGACTGAATGACTACAAAACATTTTTGTTTATTTAAAAGTTCCCAAATGAATCCTTGATTACTCTTTTTATTTTCAGCATTCCTAGCTTAATTATTACTAACTTCAATTAAGAGCTAAAGTAATTTTTGCATCAAAACTATTATAATAAAGCAAGATAAAATATGTCCTAAATTATTTGATTTATTTAAATATGATTCAAAGCTCCAGCATTTCTAAACTTCGACAACAAATTCTTAATGCAGTCATTTTGGTAATTATTTTTGTAAATATTTTTGATCAAAAAAAAAAAACACTTTTAAAACATAACATTTTGAAAAGAGTTATTCTTTTAAAGAAAGACTTTTGTGACACGAAATAACACTGATGTAATCATTAATTATAATATTATCCTTATTACTCGATAAAGTGATTTGCAGTTGCACTTATAACTTCTAGTATAACTGTACTGATGATAAACGATATAAAAAAAAATTAAATTAACAGTGCCATGAAAGCAAACGTATCCAATGACTAAAATCATATTACTATAACAACAACATCTATCACAATAATATTAATTTATAATAATAAGATGATGACCTCTTTTGAAAGTTCTACTCCCTGTGGTATTTTCACACACATTACGAATGAAATTGCTTGTTTTGAAAATGATATGCTGTTAAGTTGTGCAATAAGATAGATTCATATCCTCTTAGCTTTATTTTCAGATACAACCATAACTAGAAAGCAAATATTTGAACAATCTCAAATAATAGCACATCTGCACTTATCATTTGATTGATGGGAATAACTTTTGAGCGGCTAAATAAAGCTTAAAAACAATAAATTATTTGAATGTTACTTAGAAATCAAAAATGATAACTGTTCCGAGAAATGAAATTTCTAACTCTGTATACCAATGTTAAATTTTACAAAAAATGTAAGCATTTCCTGCTACATTTCCATATATTTTCATTTTATGTATTTTGAGCGTCATTTTTGAAAACTTTAGCATCGATGCTATCTAAATGAAGAAAAAAAATTTCAAGTGAAATAAATGAAAATAAAACATGCGTTTAAAGTTTTTCGCAAAATCAGTAAGTGGAAATTAAGAATTACATTGTAAAATTTCACAACGAAGAATCTGTGCATACTCGAATCTGAACTATTCTTTTGTTTTTTTTTTTCCAAAAAACTGTAAACCACAATAATTAAACGTAAAAATCCTAACTAATCAGTGTGATGTTCGAGAATATATTGCACAAGAATTCACCATTTTTAAAATATGATTTATAGATTTTCATGGATGAAAATTTGAAATATGATTTTCATGGATGAAAATTAGAAGTAAACATTTTCTTGAAATCAAAAGTGCAACTATTGATGATGAGATGTTTAAACTAAGTTCATATTTATTTGAAACTTTTAAAGGATATTTTATTAACAAAGTTTAAAAGTTACGCTTGTGTTTTTAAAAAATATTTTAGTTAGCACTTTTTTATCATAGTGTCATGTCTGCAAATGACTTATCGTTTCTGTATCCTCAATAAGCAAATTTTTTCAACTTGTTATACCACTTTTTTATAAATTAATTTTACCGAAATGATTGCATAATTTGAGCGCTATAGAAACACATAATAACCTGTTCTGTATCATTATAATTTGGTTCAAATTTATTTCGTCACATAAATTTAAGAGAACTTTCGAAGAAGTATAAATTTGAGATGGATTTGTCAGTTTGTCTTCAGTTTCTAGCAGTGAATTGAGATAATAGGACATTCATTGAATGATAGTAAGATTTAGTAAAAGTTTTCTTGACGTAATACTTATATCCACTAACTATTACATCACTTTACATTTCACAATGAAAAACTGTAAAATAATTAGAAATATCAAAAAAAAAGTAGTAAAAAAATCTGAAAAGCATGATGACAATATAGTATCTTAATCCTTTCTCTAATATTTTACATTAATGAGATATTATGTTAATTCCAAAATGCTTAATTTTGATGCATATTTCAATATTGATTTAATCAATTAAATAGAATATTTCATTGTTTTAAGCTAAAATGATGAAATATACCTTTAACAATGAGAACGTTGATGAAAA